ATAATGATTTTACAAGTTTACACACCTTATTCTCATTTTTAGGAAGTACAAAGCCCTCCAGTTGTTCTACATACACCTCTTTATCTAAATTACTATTTAGAAAGGCTGTCTTGACATCCATTTGATATACAAAAAGGCTATAGATTGAAATTAAAGCCAAAAGTACTCTAATGGATGCAATTTTAGCAACTGGTGCATATGTGTCGAAATAGTCAACACCTTCCTTTTATCTAAAACATTTGTCCACCAACCTAACTTTATAAGTTAGTATGGATCCATCCATGGAATATTTCTTTCAAAATACCCACTTATAATGAATAGGTTTAGAATCATGTGGTCAATCAACTAGGACCCACGTACCATTAGATAACAATGAATCCATTTCATCATTTACCACCTTTTTCCAAAATATTGAATCTCTATATTTCATAACTTCACTAAATGTTTTAGAATCATCCTCTACACTAAATAAAATTGGAGTTTTATTTAGTCGAGAATCTCTATTGCCTTCAACAGGAAAGACAATAGCTTGTGAAGAGATAAAATCGGAGAGTGGACTCTTTTCTTTTCTTTGTCTCTGACTCCTCCTTGATTCAAAAGGAGTGTCAATTTCCTTCTTTTTTTTGTACCATTAGAAAGATCAGCACTATTAGAAGAACTTGGTTCATTGTGTGGATCATTTTCAACTCTTGAATTATTGAGAAACTTATTCTTAAAAAATTCAACATCTCTTGATTCTACAATCACATTAGAATCAAGATCAAGTAGCCTATAGACTTTAGAATTTTTAGAATAGCCAACGAATACATTTTTAAGTTCTCTAGGTCCCAATTTTATTCTTTAATTTTCCAAAACTCTATAATAAGCTATACATTTCCAAACTTTTAGATAATTCAAGTTTGGTTTTCTTCCCTTCCACAACTCATATGGAAACACTTTAGTCTTCAAGAAGGGAATACAATTATGCACATGACATGCAGTCAATAAAGCCTCGCCCCACAAATTCTTTGGCAGACCAAAACTTAAAATCATGGCATTTACCATATGTTCGAAAATTCTATTTTTTCTTTTAGCCAAACCATTTTTTTGTGAAGTATAAGGAGCACTTGTTTGGTGTACACACCATTATTTTCATAAAAATTTGAGAATTCGGTAGAAAAATATTCACCACCTCTATCACTTCTCAATATTTTGATTTTTTTATTTAATTGATTTTCAACAAAGAGACTTATATGTCTCAAACATATAAAAGATTTCATCTTTTATTTTCATCAAATATACATGCACACATAGAGTAATCATCAATGAAAGTGATGAAATATCTATTACCATCTCTTGTTAAAATTCTATTCAACTCACAAACATCCGAATGTACAAGATCAAGCAATTGTGAGTTTTTTTCAACTTTAGGAAAAGGCAACTGTTATCTTGGTTTGAACACATGTTTCACACTTCTTATTCACATTGTCACTAAATGAAATTAGACCATTTTTAGACATTGTTGTAGCATTTTGTGATTAACATGTCCTAATCTATCATACCACGAAAAGTAAGCAAAATTAACAAAACAAAGAGAAACATCATCATTCTTATTGATACTTAATTTAAACATGTCATTACAAGAGTAGATTTTTCCAACAAATACACCATTCTTGAACAATATCACTTTGTTGGCCTCTAGTACAGCTTTCAACCCTTTCTTGTTAAGAATATCAGTAGAAACAAGATTTTTTATAATATCCGGAACATGAAGTACATTAGTGAGGACTAATTTCTTGCCGGAAGTGAATTGAATATTCACACAACCTTTGCCATGAACTTTAGCCCTTACACCATTTGCCATCACTACTTCATGTTCTTCAAGAATTTCATAATTCTTGAATTGATTCTTGTTATTGTACACATGAATGGCTACATCAGAATCATTCCACCAATCCTTGGAAGAATTAGGTGTGGTCATGTTCACTTCAGTCAATGTACCAAGTAACATCATAGCAACGATTTCTGAAATTTCGTCAACAAGATTTGTGGTTGAAGCACCACTAGTCTTTTGTTTCTTATCATACCGGCATTCAAATTTGTAATGGCCTTTTTTGCTATAATTATAGCAATTTCTATTCTTCTTCTTATTGTCATTAGAATTAGTATTATTAGGTTTCTTCCTTTTGAAATTGAAAGACTTTCTTTCATTCACAAAATTCACCTTAAATTTATTTTCCACTTTCACTTTAGATTCAACATTCACATCTTTCTTTTGAAGATTTCTAGCATTTTCTTCAATCCTTAGATGTTTCAAAACACCATTTAAAGTCAAAATTTCAGAAATATGGAGCAATTCCTTTTGATAGTTATTCCAACTAAGAGGCAACTTGGAAAAAATAGCCCTCACTTGAAATGCTTCTGAAATTTCAATACTTAAATCTTTGAGTTTTGAAACAATCACTTGCAAATTGTGAATTTGATCAAGAAGTGGGGAATTGTCTATAAATTTGAACTCAAAGCATTTTTTGATAAGAAACTTATCTGAGCTTTGCTTTTGATTGACATGTTGACACTCAAGGGTAGCCCAAATCTCCTTTGGTGACTTGACGGTTGTGAATAAATCATAGAAACTATCTAACAAACTATGGAGGATGTGACCTTGACGCACTACTTCATCTTCTTCATGTTTTTTCCTTTGTCTATTCAAAACCTCTGAATCGTCATCCTTTGAAGGAGAAATTTCTGGAAGATTTGGGTTCAACACATATGCCACCTTCAAGACTGTTAAGAAGAAGATCATCTTATCCTTCCACCTATTGAAATTGGTTCTGATTCCATCTAAGTGGTCCAAGTTGACAAAGTCTTGATTCATCACCTTGATAACAGATTCTTAAGTAGACTCCATACCAATCTCAAATCAGACCTTAAGATAGTTGAAGAAATGGGGATTACAAGTGTATAGAACCTACTACAAAACTATTACAAGAATAATATTAAGACTAAACTAAATTTTTTTGAAAATTCAAAAGAGCTTTAAAGGCATGTGCTTTAGGGATGCTGTTGAGTCGAGTCGAGTCGAGCTCGAGTAGTACCATATTCGAGCTCGAGCTCGAAGGTTATGAGCACTACTCGAGCTCAAGATCGAGCTCGAACAAGCCTCAAACTTCAGACTCGAACTCGACTCGATGTAGTTAAAAACAACTCAAGCTCAAACTCATATAAGATTCAAGCTCAAGGACTCGAGCTAAACTCGTAAAATGAGCTCGAAAACCTTTGTTTTCTATACCAAAATTCAGCAAAAATTGAGTGCAAAAAATCTGTGCTTTCCTTCAATAAAATAGCAACTCATATTAAAACATGCATTTTGCTTTATTTCAATGCAAATGCCAACCATGTGATTCAAGCACTCTAAAATCCACAGTATCAAACTAGTTAATATGACAGTTTCTCAATAGCCAAAATAGCCGTGTAAGCAAAAGAAATAGAGAACTTGATATTAATAGAATTTAGTCACAACACACTGAATGTACAGATTTGAGATCAAGTTCTCTGTACAACATTCTATTAAGATCCATTGCCAAGATTCTATACAGCACCTCATGTATAGATTTTAGTCAAAAGTCAAAACACAACTTGGCAACAACTATACAACATTCACTTGAGTAAAAAAAAAAAATCACCAGATTCACTACAGCTATACAGATTTGAGTCCAAAGTCAAAAGTCAAAACACAACTTGGCAACCACAGCTTGTCAACATTCACTGGAGTAAAAAAAAATTACTAGATTCACCACAACTGTACAGATTTGAGTCAAAAGTCAAAACACAACTTGGCAACCACAGCTGTACAGATGTGAGACAGGTCATTTGAGATGTTAACTGCATAGAGTTCATATTCCAAAATTCCAAGTTTCTAACACCTATTGCCAACCAAAAAAATATAAGTCCTGTCAAATATCACCAAAGACAAAAAAATGAATCAAATTAAGGTACAAAATTATCGAGAACTCTAAATAACTACAAATCCACAATGCTAAACCTGATTCAAAATAAGCCCTTTGCAATAAACCTTCAAACCTTGAGCAATTCAATTTCTTTGATTATTCTAGCATGATGCATTTACAATAAAAACCACCCAAGGCAAATAATTTAGAAATAAAAGAAGTCATAACTTGTTGAACTTGGCCATAAAAGTTGAATAATAAAACAATAAAACTTACTTTCACTTTCTTTGAGATCCTATGAAGCTTTCTACACCAGTTCCTGCACACAACAACACCTGAACTGTATCTGAATGAAGGGAAGCACGATAACTATCAATAACTCGAGTTTTGGCATTAAATGTGGCCTCAGATGCCACTATAGTTACAGGAATAGCCAAGATGTCAGCCGCTATTTTGGGACAATATTGGATATGCAACCCTATTGCTTTTTCACCACTCTAAACAATCATAGGCATTTGGGTTAAAACTCGTCTTTAGGCGAGCCTTTTCTCAATAATCCACCAATTCAGATCTCTGTGGCTCGGTAGTTTCCATTTCGTCACAGTACTCATCAAAGTCAACCCATCTAGAAGAAGATGTTGCATTTTTTTGTGGCCTTTTTGAAGCACATGAGTGGACTACATTTTCTTTTTCAATTGCATTCAAATTTGCATACTCATCATAAAGCTCAAATAAAACTTTCTTCACACTGGAAATATGTTCTTGTGCCTCAAAAGATGGAAACATTTGAGGGAAGGCGAATTCAACAACTCTCGTTTTCTGCCTTGGATCTAGAATGGTAGCAATAGCCATTAACAAATTGCATTCACCCCAATATTTGTCGAACTTGACCTTTATCTTTCCAACCATAGCTCGGATGAAGTCATTTTCACCATTCACTCAAGAATCTAAGACTTTCTTAATTTTCACAACCTCTTGAAGGAACAAATTGCTCGTAGGATATTCACTCCCGGATATTACATGCATGGCTGCCCAAACTTTCTCTAACACAGAGCACACTTTTTCTGTTTTTTCTCAATCCTCATAAGCTGGACAAGAATCATAGAATGGCTCTCTATCTTGAAAATGAGGAAAAATATCTTTGAACTTCATAGCACAACTTAGCATTTCGAAGGTGGCATTCCATCTTGTTCGACAATCATAAAGCAATTTCTTCCCCAATATTTGAAGTTGTTGTGCAATCTCAGCGAACAACAATAATCTAGTCTCTGAGCAATTGACAAAATCGACACTGTTTCTAATTTTGTTTACAATATCCACAATCTCAGAAATGCTGATGTGAACAATAAGGTTCAAGATATGCGCATAGCATCGAACATGAAACAACTTGCCACCACCTAATAGCTTTTTCGATCTACTAAAATCATCCCGCAAAACTCTAATAGCCACATCATTGGCCGAAGCATTGTCAACTGAAATTGTGTGTATCTTCTGCTTGATACCCCAATCCTTCATACACTTGAAGAGTGAAGCAGCAATCTCAACCTCTCGTCTAGGAGGTGGCATGTGAACAAAGTTGAGCACTCTCTTTTGTAGCTTCCAATCCGAGTCAATCTAATTGCCAGTAATAACCATATATTCGATCTTTTGATTTTTGAATTTTCAAAGATCGGTTGTGAGGCTCACCTTTTTCACATTTCTCAACTTGTTCTTCAGCTTCTTTTTCTCAAGTTCATAGACTGCTACACAATCATTTTTTGCTACTCCTCTGGTGATCTTCTGCCACTCGGACATTCCACGCTTTAGAAAAATATTCAAACATTCTTCTTCCAGAATGGTAAAGGGATGTTCGTGCATCAAAATCCAATGTGCAGCTGCTTCTCTCATTTTCTCCATGTCAAATTTCTCGGTATGCAAAGGTGGTACAGTAGGAAATGCGTTATTAGCCGGTTGAAAGTTCAATTTTGTTTGTTGTGCAGCTTGTCTTAAACTTGCTTTTCTAGATGGACATGAGTTCCAGTGCCACCACATGCTAGATGTTTGCTTTGATTTACCCCTTGATAGCTTTTTATTGCAGTAACGGCAAATGGCATAGTAATTGCCATTTTCTTCAAATTCGTTGAAGTCCTCCCAAGCTTCAGAAGTTTTATTTCGTTTTGGAATATGGAATTCATCATCTTCATCTAATTTATCCTTTTCTCCTTCTGTATTGTTATTGTCAGCAACCACAACTTGTTGTCCTTCTTGTATATTACCTAAAAAAGTACTTTGTGTAATCGGATTAGTTATCATGTTTCCTGGATTCATCGTTGACTCATTGGAGACATATATTGGGTTGTCCAATATCAATGGAGTACATGAATCAACATTGGAAACCAGTGGGATACAAGAAATCTCGGGTTGACTGCCCTTGTCTCGAGTTGACATCAGTCCATAAACATATGTAGTCCAAGCTAAAGAAAGACAACGAATTTTCAAATCACGGCAAGGGAATTGGTTATAAAAAAGAATCGCTAATCTTTTTTGACTTAATAATTAATGAAGGGGTTGTTGTGCCAGTTCCAATTTCATTACTATTTGTTTAATTGAGCATAGTTGAAAGTAGCTCTTCCATTGAAGCATCTATCTATTGCTTAACCTTAATGTATTTGTGGTCTCGAATATAAGAAAGAATAAGGAACTTTCTTGTAGACACTCATAAGTTCTCTAATATGTTCTTAAATTGTGATATTCATTTTCCCTTTTTGCAATTTTCATGTGCAAAATGGACCAAAAGTTGCTGACTTTATAACGGTTTCTCGTGATAATCTAGAATGTGATAATCTAGTGCCTTTACTAATCACTAGTCCTTTGTCATTTAGGATGCTGTAGATAAATAGCCTCTTCCGCGACCATTGCATTTAATTTTGAAAATATTTCTACAACAGAGAGAGTTGAATGAGGCAGAGTTCTACTTTTTACTCTCTAATTCATTGTCTTTGGCAAGGAAATGGGTAATGAGAGTTGAAAAAGAATCGCTAAAAGAAACATGCATATATATACCATTAACCCAAAAAAAATAGAAAACTAAAGGGAAAATAAAGGGAAAGAAATTAGTATCATCTGCACATCATAAGGAGGATAACTCAAGGCTCAAATGTGAAGAAACTATGGTGAAATTGAAGGAACCACAACTAATGCCTGAAACGTGCTCAAGGTAGAGCCCATTTTGTTGTTTCCCAAAATAATTCTCAATTAACATGTCCAAATTACAATTTAGGGTTTATAATTAGGAATACCCGAAAAGTGGGGCTAAAAACTCTACCATCAAATCAATAGCAATAGAAGGAAGTTGAGCTTATTTCATATTCGTACCTTTTCACCTTTGACAGCTTCCCACGAGTTCAAGCTAAGGTGGTGTTGAAAACCTCCAACTTCACGGGCGACAGATGGGGTAAGTGGGTAATAAGCCAACAACAGTCTTTGAAGTTCACCTCTCACCAGATTCGCTACTAAGCTACGAGCTGGCGACGGTCTTTGTCGGTGAAATTTTGCACAGAAGCTATAACGAGCCAGCGACAAGGAGACATGACTTGGGAGTTGGAAAAAGAAAGAAAGGCATAATGGGAAATGGGGAGATCTCTCTCTACTAAAAGAATTTAAGAACTTTTCCTTTTTAATGTTTTCAAATTAAGTTCTCTAAAGATAAGAAATAAGAATTATGATTTATGAAATCCCTACTTTGTCCACACAAATAAATAAAGGTGATAGAATGGTTCATCGTACATTTCATAAGTTGTTTACCTATATTAGTAATTATATATATATATATATATATATATATATATATTTTTTTTATGTGATACTTGATAGAGCTCATCAAGCTCTTGAGTATCATAATCTAAGATCGAGCTCAACTCGCTAGCTCTAACGAGCAGCTCGAGCCCGTTTGACCAAGCTCGATCTCGAGCTGTTGACAGAGTAGCTCGCGAGCTCGAGTCGATCTACTCGGTTCAGCTCCACCCCTAGTGTGATCACTCTCCTTAAGGTGTGATTTGCCTTCACTATCTTGCTAACTAGGTTGAGATGGTGAATTACCTCTAGAATACAATGGAAACAAAAGCGAGCCTATAGCAAGTTTAAGTTTGGTTTTCACAAGAAAGAGATGCAAGAAGTTGGTTTTGCTAATCTAAGAGAGCCTAAGCACAAGTTGCACAAGAGAGGTTTAGACTACCTCTATTTATAGGCAATCCAAGAGCAAGAGTATATGAACTTCACTTAATGTCCATTTATAAATATATAGTACACCAAATACATGAACTAATGAACTTGAGAAATACATTAATGTATTTTCACTTAATGTCTATTCATGAATTTAGTACTTCAAGTACATGAATGGAGTAGTTCCATAAATTAACAAATGAAGTTGAGAAGATACATCAATGTACCAATGAACCTTGTAGGAAATTCATGAATCAAACTTCTAGACATGATAAGAAAAATCATGTAACAAGTCATGATCAATTTTCATATTGCAAACTAATTTCCAACAAGAAGTATGTGAAGTTGAAGTCTACTAAAAAGAGTTTTTAAATTTGTTCAAAATTAGAGTAATTCATAGTTGTTGTTGGGGTACTTGTTGGAAAAATTAATCTATCAGTGTTTTTGTTATTGTGTGTCTAAGAAATGAAAAAGTCATTGAAAAGCTTGTTTAAAACTTTGCATATTTTCAAGAGCATTTTTTTGGAAATCATTCATATTTATTTCAAAAAGTAAATCTTATATGCATTGACATTGTATACATTATCATGATTAGATGAAAGACACATACATAAAATTTAGATAAATTTCAAATGTGGTTTTAATGAGAGACACATATTGCATTCGTTCTATCAAGGTTTTGAAACCTAGACCATTTGTTGACCTGGAAATATGATTGGGTCAAGGGTCATTAGTTTAATCGTTGGACTAACCATTATTGGCTCGTGACGCCACAAATACATCATATATATTATTAGTAAATATTAAACATCTAAAAATATGCAAATATTTGTAAAAACTTCAATAATATTGTTAAAAAGAATCACTTCAATACTCATTCTAATCTTAAGTATTACTTTTTTGAAATTTAAGAATAACTTTTATAAGTAAAGGCAAAAAAATTATAGAATAGCATTATTATCTATCTTTAATTTTTTACATTTTAATTTTCCTAAATTATATGATTAATAGTTTATCAATTAGGAATGAAAATAAATAGAAGGCAATGACAAACAATTGAAATGTTAGCATAATTAATATACTATGTCGAATAAATGTTAGACAAGAATTGGGGTATCATTATGGAAGAGAGAAAGAAAAACGAGAAAAAATAAAGTAATAATTGTTATTTCCTAATTAATTTAAGACAATTATGCATGGATAATTAGTAAGGTTTAATTTTGGAATGTCATTGAATGAGATTAGTCGGCCAAATTTATTTTTTTTGGATCAATTATAGTTGGGCAAGGAACCGGTTCAATAAAAATAGTTCTGGTTGAATGGTTGAACCGAATGATTTTTTCGATTTAGTGTGATATTGAACGAGTTTTAACCAAACTAATTTTAGGGCCCACTCAAATAAAAAAGCAGGCTGATCAACAGTTTGACCGGTTCGATCAGTTGGTCCAAGTTGGGTTTAAAACATTGCATTCTACAATATCTTGCGGTTAATCTTGTTTGTGGAAGGATACTGTGGAGGAAGTTAATAGCTATTTATAGCCACACGATATATTACAAACTCATGCAAAGTAGCTATACATATTAAACATTGCAGTAATTAACATACAAAATTAAACAGCCCCTAAGAATCTCCGCATTAGAATATTTGAAATTGAGCACAACTGTGCATAATTTAATTGATTTGGCTAATTGGCTATTATCACTTTACCCCCTTAAACTATATTACTATTATCAGTTTACCCCCTAACGTTATTGTTTAGTTACTTCAACTCCAAAAGTAATTCAACTCAACATGTTAAAAAATTTTGGACAAAAATACCCCTTTATTCTATAGTATTCTCACATTGTTATTATCACTTTATCCCTTAAAATTATAGTGATACAATCACTTTAATTTCTAACATTATTTTCTAGGCATTTTATCTCATCATTAATCTAACTAGTATGGTAAAAATTTTTTAAATATATTTACCCTTTTTATAGATAAATAAAAATAAAAAAGTTGGTATGGTTTTTTTTTTTCACTTTAAGAGATCCAAAAATATAAAAATAAAATAATTTTCTCAAATTTCTTTTTTTACACTTATTAATACTAGGAAAAGAAAAAGAGATAGGAAAGAAAGAGACAAACAATTAGATTTGCAAACAAAGAAAATAAATAAAAGTCTAACATTATCATATTACTTTAAGATTGTCGATATTAAGATTGAAATTTGATGGTAAAAAAGAAAAGTGAAATAATTTTAAAATAATAAAAGTATTTAATTCTTTCTTATTTGTATTTTTTAGAAAAAGAATTGAACTCTCTCTCTCTCTGTCTCTCTCTCCCCTTCCCTCTTCCCTTCCCCATCTTTCTATTTTTTTCAATATTAATAAGATTGCTAAAAAAAAAAGATTAACACTTTGACTTTTTTTCTTGATACTAAAAAGGAGAAGAGTCACTCTAAATTTTTTATTATTTTTATTATCCAAAGAGAAGGGTACTTTTTTCTAAAGTTCTTTAACTTGCTAAGTTAGTTTAATGATAGGATAAATTGCCTAAAAAATAAGTCTATGGGGTAAATTGATAATGATGCTATAGTTTATGAGGATAAAGTGATAATAATTTTAAGAGTTAAACATATCTTTTCACTTTAATTAATAAACTCCGTTAAGTTTGACCATTAGTTTTAGGGGTAAAGTGACTAAAAGTAAACGTTAAGGGAAAAATTGATAGTGCACCGAATATTAAGGGGGTAAAGTAATAATAACTCTATAATAATTGTAGCTAATTATGTAGTTATTTTGTAAGAAACTAGGGATAATTGCAGAAACCTCCCCTGAGGTTTCTGATAGTTGCATTAACCTCTTTTGAGATTTCAAAAATAGCACTGGCCTTCCCTGAACTTAAGATTTTGATGGCAAATTCAGCTCATGTCAAAGAAAGTGCCATTAGAAAAGTCTTTTGAGAAATAAGATGATAATTTTGTTCCATTTGTACTCTTTTTGTCTCTTGTAAGGTTGTATTAGTAAAAGAATGAAAAGCATTTAAAATTGGAAACAATTAGTCAAATTCAAAGGGATACAAATGCAAAGAGAACATGTGCAATAGCAACAATTGGAAGAAG